ATAATAAGATAAAAAACTAGCTAGGACTGTTAGACACTTTTTACATACATCTAGTAAGACTAACCATGTCTTGTTATTTTTAGTTTTGGAGATACCCTAGTAGGATCAAGGAAAAATCATGTAAACTGTCAATATGAATTGACAACAGGCTGTCCTTCTGCCTTTTGCAAGTTCAAGACTAGCAGCACCCTTCTTTTCAGTAGCCCAGGTAGTGGGAATGAAGGACTGGAACCTAAAACCTGCACTCGAAACCCAGGATGGAGGAGCACTTGTTAATTGCTAAGGACAGGGTGGCATTCTAAGATATGGCAGGGGATAGTGCCCATTAGGTAAGAGCATGCCCACATGGGGCAGTGCACAGCCTGATCAGTGAGGTCTAGAGATCTATAGGTATATGGGGACAAGTTAGCTAGACTACCAAGTGTGCCCAGCTTTTTTGGTATACTAAGTCCACTCACCTCCTTCTTAGCACCCCTTCCACATTCACCTCACCCCATATTCTGTGTGTAGGTAAAGCACGTAAGCATGAGTCAAGGGCTCTCTGGGTCACCTTTGCATTCTGTATGTTAGTGTTTATTCAGCAGGTGATGGGGGATAAGGATCAATTATTCAGGTGAATGGATTTTTTTTTACTTATTTGACAAGCAGCTGATATTCAATAAAGTAATAGCTTTATGACTAAATGCTATTTGTCTTATCACTGTTAATTATCCTTTAATCCTCACCATCTATCATATCTTCACATGTTTTCACATACAGAAACACTATATTATTGGATGATGGGCAACAATAAAGGTAACTGTTATTTGAAAGATAAGATAATTTTAAACATATGTTGAAGAAATTTATGAGAAAAACCCCAAAATTATCTGTTTACTCTAAAATTTCCATCATGTTTCTTCATGACATCACTGAGGCAAGTTTTTTAAAATCTATTTTCTACTGTTATAAAATCATTTTGAAACTACTAAGAGTAGTTAAAATTTGCTTTTTTGTATTTATTTTTTTATTAAGGTTAATACTTAAGATTTTCTCCTTATTTTTATTAAAAATTAAGTTTTTACTGTGTCATTTGCATTCAACAAACTGTGTGGCAGTCTTAGAATAGAAGCTCCCAGGAACTTCTCTTCCACTTTAAACAAGTGATTCCTTAAGATCCTAAATCTAACAGACTTGTATATGTTTGCTGAGTGGATTGCATTTTTGTCTTATAACCTCTCTGACTACTTTGAGCTTGACCAAAAATTCACAGCACTAAGTGGTTCATTTGGCCAAATTAATTTGGTTTTGCTATAGTAGTTCACAGCACTTTGTTCCCAATGGTAGTATCAAAATATATTCTTTTAAAATTGATAATAATATTTATTGTGTTCTTAAGCAAGATTAAAATCACTGGACTTTGGATCTCTTGCCTGCAAGTGGCATAATAATGCCCCCATTGAAAGAACTGTGAGTACCTCAGATGAAACAGCTGGTATGAAAATATCTGGGAAAGCTAAGGGTAGAACATGCAATGTGAGTTATGATTATCATTACTATCATTATTGGCCTTTTCTCTCCACATGCCTCAACTGTTTTCTAGAATTGTTTATAGAAGACAAAGTCACAAAATCCAGTCTACTGGGAAGTGATTATTTTCCTCCTCACTTTTTCAATAAATCAAACAATTACATTCCAAATTACTGAACATTTAAAGGTTTCCTAAAGCATTTCATTCAAATAGATAATCACAAACTTCCACTGGTACTGTTTGTGCCTGAAATTTCTCAGGAATTTTCTCAGTAGAAAGCTCAACTAGGCCAATAAATATAAAATCATCAAGCACAGTTGAATTATGGTTGTTGGACAATCTTCACAGAATTCCAAATGAGATAAGGTAAGGAAACAAGCTTACTTATAGCTACAGGAGAGTCCAGTAAAGAGAAGGCATATCCTTTATGTGTAGATGACCTGGGATGTATCAGATTTATACTAAATTGGTAATTATTTATTCTCCTTCTCTTTCTTCCCATAGAAACTCCATATCCTTGGTAGAAAGAATGTGCTCTGTGTGTCAGTGAGTGTAAAAGGAAAATCTTATATGTAAATATACCAAGGGAATGGGAAAACTGAGCACGTTCAAGATGTTATTTTTCTGTAATACAGAATTGCATCATGGCCTGATTAAACCAGTCACTCCTACAATGAGGCTAAGCTAATAAAGAAACTCTTGTATTGGTCCAGCATAAGACCAGGTCATCCCTTTCAGTGGGCTTTGAAAATAAAGGTCCTATTTAAATATGAAATGTTATAGGCCTTTTATAAAATGTGTGTATATACTTAATCCTTATTAACTTGGGTAAAGGGTATGAAGGAACTATCTACACAAGCTGGTACTAAAAGATCAATTTTCTACAACTTTAAAAAACAGAACACATAACTACATGAAGTCTACTAATTCATTGTAAGATTTTTCCAAAATTGTCTTGCCTTTGATAAAGTTAGATTAGCTGGCTTCCTTTCAAAATCATTATTGTGATCTATGGGAATGTTCAGTGTTCCTCTGGTCATCTTCATTCTGTTATTCTTTTTGATCTTCATGGTGATTTTCTTACGTCTTTCTTATCCCTATCTTCTTTGATTTTTAATGATTATACCTTCTATGATTGCAAAAATAGAGATCATTAGCCATTAACTCTCTAAACATTTTACTCATTCATCTCTAGATTTATGTTTTCCCCTTTCACTTGTTTCTTTTTTTTGTTCGTCCTAAAGAATACAGTACTTGTCTCTATTACTTTTCCAGAGATAATCTCTTTACTTGAACTCAGAATCATATTTTTTCAGCAATGACAACTCCACTTTTTAACCTCTTTTTTTTCCTTGAATTTTAATCTCTATTTTCATTTATCTCAAGTGTCCCAAATTAAAAAAAAAAAAAAAAACAAAAACAAGAAACAGTTCGCCTTAAACTTAATTATTCCTCAAGCAATTTTATTCTCTCCCTCATTAACCTTCTCAAAAGATACATGTACTTGCTCAGATCTCAACCATCAATTCACTCCTCAACATAGTGGGTTTTTAATTCCATAACCTGACGAAGAATTCTTCACTCAACTGTCATCCAAAGACCTAGTAATCATAGGTAGTAACTGGTTCTTCTAAGTTCTCTTGGTCCTATGGACTACTATTTCTGCTGTTTGTCCTTGGGCCTAATGGTTGTCTTGTTCCCCTATCCTCATCTGATAAAAGCCAAATCTATTACTTATTACCTGCCATCATGTTGTCTACTCTCTGTTCTTTGTTCCTCACATCAACATCACCATTTTACTCATTCAGGGTAAAAACTTTAGCAATCCCTTTGATTCTCCTTCCCCAGGTGGCTGCTCCCCAACACACATACATGCACACACTTCTGTAAACCTTGTCCCTCTTGCATCTGGACCAATCTCTTTTCTCTGCTGCCATTTCCTTGATCTAGGTCTTCATCAAATTTATTCTGCTTTGTTTCTGTGAATTGTGACACAAACCACTTCCCTGTGACTACTTCACTGTGCCAAGATTCCACAATAGAGTGATTGGAATGCATGGAAACAAGAATATAATCAGGGCAAACCTGAGCTAAGAACCTCCATGGCTCTTGGCTCCCATATACTGCATTTGAATCTTTCTCTCTTGCCACATTTTGCTCCCTACACCAAGCAGACTGTCACTCCTTAATTGAGTCATTTTCCATGCCTCACATTTTGCAAATATTGTTCCCTGTCTGTTGTTTTCTGCACTGTTCCCTTGTGCAGAAAATCCCCCTTCTCTTTTCCGTGCTTTTGTAGTGATTTGTAAATACCTCAAGGATGCTATGCTCCAAATTTTATAACAATGACCTAAAATTCCAGACCTCCACTCCCTGCTCCAGACTAGGAACTTTAAATATACCAGAAGTCTCAAGAAGTGTTTTCATTATTGGTGAATGAATAGACAATTATCCTGAATTTCAAACCTATGAAAGTGGGATAAGAATAGCACAGAGATAGGGCCAATGAGAAAAGAAAGCTGTTTGGAAATAAAGAGTGGACAACAATAATACAAATGATAAAAACTAATAACTAAAAGTAAACACCTAATAATAACTAGAGGTTATAATGAAGAGTAGAACACAACTTCATTTCTAGAATTCCACTTGACCACCTGCAATACTTGGATGATATATTAGGATACCAAGAATAACACAGGCCCTTAGGGGCCTCATAGAGTCTAATTCCTATAAGATGAATTATAACCCATTATGAGTTTTTGAGATGATGTTTTTAGAAGATGGTGAGTGTACCTGGATGGATGTTGAGATCCAGAAGAGGAAAGTGGAGATCAGTTCTATACATAGAGAAAGCTACCAAATATGACAATGCAGAACATAGCACATAAATAGAACATAAAAGCAAGAATGGAATGTGCTACAAAAATGAGCTGAAAATAGTATAAGATCTGCAGTTTATTTTCCATTGTGTGCCATGTCTTCAGTGATATTCGAGTCTGTCTAATGTTTTATGGGTTTGCCTCTAGTGATTCATCTTTAAAATTTGGCTTAATTTAAGCCACATCTCCAAAACATCTCTAAAGTAATCTGACAAACCAGTGTTAGCCTCTATATATACATCACTTGAGATACATTCACAGGGATTTTCTGACTTCAAAGTCTTTCAAAATATTAGAAAGTACTCATTGTGGCAGGGCAGCTAAAAGCCAGGTCCTACATAAATATAAGCTGATGTTTAAATGTAAGTGCCCATTAAAAATGCAATTCTCACTTTTCCCAACGTTTTTCTGGGAAAATAAATGTGTCTTATCAAGAATGACAGAGTACTCAACTTGAATCTACCATTCATTTTCAGTTTGCATGATTTTACTCATTCTTCCTGTTTTAGAGAAAAGTGATGCAGTTGAAAAAACTCTTTGGTATTATTACATCATCAACTGTGGAAGTAAATTGGGTTGATTTCTTCATTCCTGCCCCTTCCTGTACTCACATATCACTGGCAATGGAGGAGTTCCGGGACATAGACTTTGGAGAGAGGTCATAATCGCTGTCGGATCGATACAGGAAGGACTCCCGGCGTTGACTGTGGACAAAATTTGCTTGGAGAATTAGCCCAGACCCTGGGCTGGTCATGGGATCCAAGGGACTCCGTCCCGCAGATGTGCCATTGTCCACATCAAAACTGTGAATGAAAGAAAAGGAATTATGTTGTGGTAAACACTCACATGTTGATATTTTACCAAAACATTTAGCTTCAATTTAGGAATTTAGCATGGGAAAATTTATAGTTGCTTCCTGCTTGTGAAAAATGATAATATTAAAATAAATAAAAGTAAACATAAATAAGAAACGTGCACGCACACACAAACACACCCCCACACACCCCCATTGGCTTCACATTCTGATTTTCTAACTTTGGATCAGACACAAAAGACAGATCATTCTAAACTCAATTTCAGCTAAAAAGAAACAATTATTTAAAAACAGCTCTTCTAATGCAGAATCAAAATTATTTGTTGAAAAGAGCAAATACATAAAAATTCACTAAACCTTTGAGTTCAACTCAACAAGTGCCAGTTATATGCCTATTATTATTATTCCTCCAAACCTGAGCTTCTTTCGCTACCCAATATACATATCCAGCCACTAATTTCCATTATATCCCCTATCCTTCCATTCCTAATTTATTACAGGCATTTTAAATCCAGTATTCAACTCCCACCTACATTATTATAAGAGCATTTCTCTTGGTCTCCTGAACTCATCTTCCAATCTGTACCAAGTGTGACTCTTCTTAAAATGCAACCACACCCTTCTTCTGTTTAAAACCATTCAATAATTCACTATTACCTTTAAGTTGAAGCCCAAACTTCTTTACTAGGCTACAAGTTTTCACTGTCTGCTCTCAGTTGCAATAACTTATCTTCACAACCTCAACTGGCAACCCTCTGTGTCAAGTGTATTCTGCACTCATTGGAGCAGCACATCCTGGGCCAGGCCAGCCCTGCCTGGCTTCTGCTTTTTCCTGCCTAACGGTTGCTCCTCCTTAAGGACTCAGACTTTAACCTCAGCTTGATACCTCAGAAATTCATGAGATGCTCTTCTCTATGATCTCAAGACACTTCTCCATTCGTAATGACAGAATTTACAGTGAACTGAGTATATTTACCATCTGATCTCCATTCCTAGACAGTGAGCTTTCTGAAGATGGAGACTCAGGATATTCTTAGAGCTTCACAGGGCACTGTTAGGTAGAGGTGAGTAGGGTGAAATGACAATGAAGTGTAACTAAAAAGCCCAGGGAGCATTTTCTGAAAGGATAGGAACCTGGCCATACAGACCTGGTATGTCAAAACCTCCCCCAGCCTTAACAAATGACACCCTTTTAAGAAAAAACAAGAGCTTCTGGACCATGTCATCATTATCTCTTGTAACCATGTCTCCAGTCCCCTCTCTTATCACCGAAACTATGTCACAACCCCACTCACCCTGATAGCCAAAGCAGCAAGACACTCAAAGTAAACTCAGTGGGGACTTTTCAAAAGGTAGTATGACCAATTAAGGGGGCAGGAAACAGAGACAAAAACCTATGGACAATATTTCCTTAAAAACTCAAACTCTGTGAGTACTATAGCATCCTCTCTGCAGGAGTTCCACACAGTTCCTATGCTGTACAGTGTCCTCACTTCTCAGTCTCTTTGGTAAACTTTTGCTTGCTACTCTGTGTTTTACTGGAATTGTTTCCAGCAATATTAAAAGGACTGTAGTGGCTGTCCATCTCCACATGGCAGGCCCCAGACCTGTAACAGCACTTCAAATATTGCCCTTTAATGGGCTGAGAGTGTAGCTCAGTTGTAAAGCTCAGCCTAGTTTGTATGAGGCCCCAAGTTCAAAACTCAGCACCACAAAACAGAAGAATGAAACAACACCTAAGTGGTTTGAATGAATAATTGGTGCCATGTTTAATAATATCAATTTTTAGAGTTGGAGGGAAAAAGAACCATACATACACATATTTTTTAAAATTATAAAACTCATAAGCTGTATGCACTTTCCACAAAGAGCTTTTCTAAGTGAAATATCAAGAAGTTTCAAAATGAAGTCAACTCTTGTATGTTTAAGATAACTAGAGATAATCCAGGAGGCGTGTGATTTAAAAAAAAACTGTTAATGAATAAGTGAAGTTTATTATATGATAAATAAGTACATGCATTTAGGTTTAGATGTCATCAACATTTCCCCCAAGAGTGTTATCCAAACTAGTAAGCAGTGAATTTTAAAATGTTCTTTGTTTTCTTCATTGGAGTTATTAATAGTGTTATGACCCAAAGACTTGAAGCCAAACCTGAAGAATAAAGTAGGGGTTAGATATTTCATGGATCACCTGCAAATCTACGACAAAAGAATGCTGCTTCCAAATCAACCTGTCAAGTAGAAGACGTGGAAAAAAAATTCACAGTGTAGCTTAACCAATCAAAAATATGTTTTCCAACTTAAAATTTTCTTATGAATGTGTCTCCTTATAAATGTATTATTTTTTTGGTCCCTCAGACAATAAGAATTATCTAGTTGAACAGAGTCATTTTATAGACAAGAATACCAGGTCCTAAAATAGTTATTTTCAAGTTACTGAGCTAACCGGATTTAATCATCTATCATTCCTGACATTCCTTCAGCTCCATTGTATAATTACATACACCACAACTATGTATCAGTGACTGTGATATCAAAAAAGGGACATCTGATTCACTTGGATAGGCTAGGCACTGGTATATGTGGTATGGCAACCCCAAGGAAAGCCAGAGTGGAACAGGGTCTCTAATCCTTGAATTCAAGCCATATTAGGAGATCTCAGGCAAGCTCTTCCCCAATGTGTGTAATTAAATAAGCAGTTAGTGAACAACAACCATGAGCACTTGGAGACACAGAAATAAAGGTAGGAAGGTTAATTCACTGGGATATCTATCTGAGATATCTCCAAATATGAGTGATATATAAAGAGGGATTTTGAAGGCATGAAATATATAGTTGGAAGATGTTAAAGACTTTCGAACAGGGAGAGGAGAGGAGTGCACTTCCCTCCTATAAAGATGCATAGGTAGTTCATGCTGAAACCTGAGGACCTAAGAATGAGTGCTCAATGAAAGCTGTGTGCGCTGATTTCCCATTAAGATGATCCTTCTGCTATAAAAACTAAAAGGAAACACACTCTCTTCATTCTGCATGAATGGAAGAATAGGATATATAGGAGGATAATTTTGGTTTAGTTTTTCTCAATTCAATTGAGTAAATACCAAGTAGCCCCCAAATTCTGTAATTTTAAAAATTTTAATATTTTTTCAATTCAATTAAGCAACTAAATTACAAGGACACCCTACTTACATTTGGGCAAAATATTGCTAAATATATTAAAACATTTAACATTTTTGCCATAAAATTACCACTTACCAATTAAAACCAAAATATTTATTAGTAGGGCAGAAAAATGCCTGATAGGAGATATTCTAGGGCATCGGATATTTTTTTGTAGGTTGTAATATAATAATTTGTCCACTAGATGGAGATAATATTCTTTCTGTTTTTTTGGAGGGGGTGTGGTTGGAGGAGATGCAGGATATTGAGATGATTTTCTTGAGTAAGGAAATCCATCTTAAATAAACTTAAAGCTAAATTTCATCTTATTAAAAGATTAATAAAAAACAACCTATTAAATATCATCCCAAAATAAAATCTCACAATCTACAGAAATCATATTTATCTGAGAAATATTAGTATTAGCTTAACAGTGAGAATGATCTAAAAATGGTCACAGGTATTATTAGATTCTTACTTTTAAAACTCAAACAGACGTAACTGAATTTTTCTAACAAATCACTAAAAATTTATTATCTTGGGACAAAGTAACATAAGTATCATGAATGCTTTGGAGAATCACTCTATGATAACACAAATTTAGGTGGTAGGACCAGAGTCTGAGGTTATTATCATGGTGAATTTCCATTTAATTAAAGGATCCTATGATTAAAATAAATAATCAAGAAAAAGGAATAGTGCTGAGAATCCCTAGTATGAAGCATTATTGAATGTTAGTATTGGTATAAGGACTTTTTTAAAATACCTTTTTAGATGTTGATGGACCTTTATTTTATTCATTTATTTATATGTGGTGCTGAGAATCGAACCCAGTGCCTCACACATGCTAGACAAGTGCTCTACCACTGAGCCACAACCCCAGCCCTATTGTAAGGACTTTTATATTACAAAAGATGCATCAACTTTTGCAGTTTGTCCTACATCCTTAGATTAACAATGGAATAAATACATATATAGAGAACACAACACTTCTCAGCTAGGCAATAAAGTCCAGTTAGCTCAAAAGACATGAGCAATTAGGGAAAAAAAAAACACCTCAAACATATGGCATCTGTATTAAATAGTATATAAATCATAAAATACTACCATGCATAAATTAGGCAATCAAAATATGATTTAGACAATTAACATAAAGGGAGTTTGATAAGTTAAAGGGTGTACATTTTTCAAGAGCAGGTAGAATTGGGGTGGTGGTGGAGAATATCCAGTCAAAGTGAAGTAGCTAAAGCAAACCAAAAAGGGATGGCTGAGGCATGTGTGTAAAACAGAAAATAGAATGTCTGGCTCCATTTGTGGGTTGGTGTTAAAGAATGGTGGGGACCTATAAAAAAATTGCCATTTTTTGGTTCAATATAATAGGGAGGGCTGGGTGTGTTTATGGAAAGTTAGGCTAGGGAGTGTTCGAAGTTTATATAAAGAAATACATGGAAAGACACACGCTAGCTTCTAACACTGATCTCTCATAGGAGTGAGATGAAGAAGGCTATTTACTTTTCAGCTGTAAATTTTATATTGTTTAATTTGTTAAGATAAACCTTATTATTTTTGCAGCTAAAGGGAGAGTATAAAAGAACAGAGTAGAACACCACAAAATAGAAAATAAATAGACCAAAGGGGGAATCACTTGCTTCCCCTAGAAGAAAACACTCCTTTGTTAAATCTTTCAAATATTAGAACTAGCAAGCTTGCTTTGGGAGAGGTCATTTTGGATTAAAATGACTATCAGTAGATAGTCAATTAATTGAGCATTACACTACTTATTATTTGCTTAACTTTTGGAAAGAGAATCTAATTTAATTGAGAGTTAAT